TAAATATAGCTAGTTGCTGAAGAAAAATAGAACTATTTTGCGCGGTCATCATTTCATCTTTTGTTATATTTTTAGTCTAAACAGTTTCGTTTTATCGACACGCGATACGTGCTTTGGCCAAGGCAGACCTGAAATATGCAGCACTGAAGGTTGAAATAAACTTTTATTTGAACATTATTCAATCCCTATGTACACAAAGCGTTTAGTCAGTCATCACTTATATTCATAAAGTTCCTATGGCAACAGTTTACTATTTAAGATGCTAAACACTTTTTATAATTTCTTTCAATTTCGTATTGCATAAAAGCAAACCTTGAAAAATTTTAAGTTTTATGTATTCGACTAAAAATCCTGTATTATAACGCGTAATAAAATGAAATCAGTAGATGTTTAGGGCTTGATTATAGAATGAGAAATTCAAACATGTTTTCGTTCTACGTATAAACTCGCGTCGTCTTGAGTCTTGTAAAATGCAGCCATGAACATGAACAACAAATAATGTAACGTAAATAATACTGTATACATATTTAAATAATAAAATGTATTAACTAGGTATTGTGGTACGAATGCGATACAATATTTTAAAAATATTAGTGAATAAAAATTGTAAAAAAGCTAGGTCCTTATAATAAATTATTAATGATACCGTAAAATATTTTTATTTTAGTAAAAAAGGTCATAACTGAAAAGTTATCTATCATATAAATGAAAACAGGACTCTGTAGATCTTTCAAATAACTTATAAATGTATTGCATATGTTACGCTGATGACATTTGATCAGGATTTAGTTTCTGAGAACATTACAAACCGATGAATAATTTAATGACAGATTCATTCATGGCTAATCATATGTATGTAATTACTCTAAATTTGTAATAAAAGGAAAATGTCGCTCCTCGGTAAAAGACCTTCGATGTACGCAACTCGCCATTGACATTACATTAAGTATACTCGCGATCCGCCGCGGTGATGTCACACGTAGTAAATTAACATAATCGTGTCCTACGTAATACATACTATTGTCAAGATGTTATAGTGTATGACACAAATGCTGATAAGAACATTATTCTCACGTTGTACCGTTAAGCTATATAGGTAAATGTGGTTTCAGAATTCGGAACATCTTACATTTAATCTTTATATTTATAATCGTAGGTGGGTCTGGTGGCGTTCGTGTGTCGTGTAACTTTTAAACGAATTGACTGATTGAGGTCATGTTCACTAATATATTTCTTATGTCGTGTTGATGGTTTATAGCTATCTTAGGATCCGATAGGTGGTGCTTTAGTGAAATTATCAACAAAAGATATATTAATTTATGGATCATTTTGGTTCATAAATGTAGAATTATATTCATAACACTTACATAGTTATAAAAATTATATTATGTTGGTTTAGTACCAAAAAAGATAATCATAAATCATGGACCCGATTGGTGGTGCTGTGGTCGAGTTTTTTATTCTACAAAAACATATATTGATGTAGCTATAAGAACTCGATCGTATACTCTGTAATTCTTTACCCAGTTCAAATTAACTTTTAACACATTTTAGTACCTAGTTCACTGCTGACTCTAGGCCTGTCTTAGGAAGCACCTAGTATGAACTTTCACACATTCATAGATATGTGAACTCTCATGCATGTTGTCACCTAGAGGATTAGGTAGATTAGGACTTCCATGTGTTTGCAATCACGTTTGCAAAATGTGAATCTAGCTATCTCTAGGTTAAATATCTTGGTATTCTATTGGATGCTAATCTAACTTTTCATGAGCATATTTATTTACTTGCACACGCACACGCACACGAACACTCATTTATCCCGAAAAATGCACGATTTCTGTGGGATAGATCTGGCGCGTAATTTTATAATTACCTCTGTATGATGTGAAGACCTAATCTTGGAAAAACATACTAGCTGTTATTATTTGAAATGATATCGTTGAGTATCCTCGAGGGCGAAGTCGTGGGCAATAAATAGTAAATATATAATAATTCTAGAATTTTATTACATTTCTTTTAAATTTTGTCAAAGTTAATCGTTCTAGTTTCGTATCCAGCTATGTGGGATTCCTCTGAGACAAGTGGCTGAGTTTAGGTACCTCGGACATATTGTAACTGAACGCCTGGATGATGACAGTGACATTGGACGAGAGCGCCTAGCGCTGACGGTCCGGGGCAATATGTTGGCTCGCAGATTTGCACGTAGTACGACTCAAGTAAAGTTAAGTTTGTTCAAGGCGTATTGCCAATCCTTTTACACGTGCAGTCTGTGGACTGACTATACGCGGCGGGCCTACAGTGCTCTGCGTGTTCAGTACAACAATGTGCTGAGGGTGATGTTGAGGAAGCCTCCACACTGCAGTGCGCCGGCCATGTTTGCGGATGCTCATGTGGACGACTTCTACGCGATCATGCGCAAGCGTGCCACGTCCATAATGAGCAGGCTATTGAGGAGCTCCAACACCCTTCTCAGCGCATTGGCTGTGAAGCTGGATTGCCCGCTCTGGAGGGCTTGGAATGGTGCACACACCAGCACCAGGAGAATCCCACCGGAGTTCGCTATGTGAGGCTGGGGTTAGGTTAAGCTACTAATATAGGATAAATACTTTTTGACTAACAATTTAATATTAACTTCTATTTTATTTTATACTAACATTAGGCGTGCTGTTTTCGAGAGTCATTACGAATCGTCTCGCGCGCAGACTTGACGACTTCCAGCCTCCCGAACAAGCCGGTTTCCGAAAGGGCTTTAGCACCATAGACCACATACATACCCTTCGGCAAATTGTACAGAAGTCCGAAGAGTACAATTTGCCACTATGTCTGGCGTATGTGGACTATGAGAAAGCCTTTGATTCCGTCGAAATTTGGGCGGTGCTGCAGTCCCTTCAGCGGTGCCAAGTTGACTGTCGGTATATCGAAGTGTTGAAGTGCTTGTACAGTAGGGCTACGATGGCTATCCGAGTACAGAATCAGAGTACGAAACCTATCCAATTGCAGAGAGGTGTAAGACAGGGTGACGTCATATCCCCGAAACTCTTCACCGCTGCATTGGAAGACGTTTTCAAGCTTCTGGACTGGAAAGGATACGGTATCAACATCAATGGCGAGTACATCACTCACCTTCGATTTGCCGACGATATAGTCCTTATGGCAGAATCGCTGGAGGACCTAAGCACTATGCTCAATGACCTCGATAGTGTTTCCCAACGGATAGGTCTTAAGATGAACATGGACAAAACAAAGATCATGTTCAATGTCCATGTCACACCTATGCCGGTAGTTGTTGGGAGCACTAAGCTCGAAGTTGTTGACGAGTATGTTTACCTGGGACAAATAGTCCGATTAGGTAAGTCCAACTTCGACCGAGAGGTCAATCGACGGATTCAACTCGGCTGGGCAGTGTTCGGGAAGCTACGACACATCTTCTCGTCAGACATACCTCAAAACCTGAAAACGAAATTGTACAACCAGTGCGTGTTGCCAGTGATGACTTACGGAACTGAGACGTGGTCCTTCACTGCTGGCCGTATGAGGAAGCTCAAGGTCGCTCAGCGAGCTATGGAGAGGGCTATGCTCGGAGTTTCTCTGCGTGATAAACTTAGGAATGAGTATATCCGAAGTAGAACTAGAGTAACCGACATAGCCCAAAGGATTAGTAAGCTGAAGTGGCAGTGGGCCGGCCATATAGCTCGAAGAACCGACAACCGATGGGGAAGAAAGGTTCTCGAGTGGCAGCCTCGTATCGGTAGGCGAAGTGTAGGGCGTCCCCCCACGAGATGGAGTGACGACCTGGTAAGACATGCAGGAAGTCGATGGATGCAGGTGGCTCAGGACCGTGCTTTGTGGCATTCTTTGGGGGAGGCCTATGTTCAGCAGTGGACTTGTGAAGGGCTGTAATGATGATGATGATGATGATTAGGCTAAGTAAGTTTTACTAACAATCTATGACTATTGTTGGTCGAAATTAACTGAACTAAAGGATTTATTTATATATATATATATATATCAATTAATATTATAGTATAATAAATGCTTAACAAAACTGATAATGATTTTAAAAATGATAACTAATAATAATTTCATTATAATTTTAATAATTTAAAATTAAATTTTTACAGCAGACTTCAATGTAAATTATTAAGAATAACTCAAAAACTATTGGTCAGACCTTGATCAAATTTATAGGGGACCACTAGAAATGTACCAGCTTTCAAATAGAAATCGGTTCACCCAGAAAAAAGTTATGAGATAACACACATAAAAAAACATACACTCGAATTGAGTACCGTCTCCTTTTTGAAGTCGGTAGAAACTTAAACTGTATAAATTACACGTAAATTCTAAAATCAAATTCTCGATAGAATATGTACGTTTATATAGCAATGTAATTTAATAAAATTTTATTCGGAATATAAAAACGAAGAAAACTAAAACGAATTAATGAATTTTATTTGTTTAAAATATGATTTAGTTTTTTAAATAAGTTGTGCAGTAAATTTGTCGTGAGTAATTAAATTATTTATGATTCATTTGAGTTTATTCATTGCTTGTGTACAGTACCAGAAATTAACCTGTCCCGGGTTTTTGCAATTTTGATAAGAGGTCACGTATCATCTCCTCCATAGGCTATATGGCGAGTCGAAGAACTCATTCAAAGTAGACGAATTGGAGTTGCGTTGAAGTGTGCACGCGTGTGTGCTTAAAAAATAATAATATTAACTCGAAACCCGTGTTTTCTCTATCTGAATTTCTGAGTGGTTTGCGTCATTGTGTACAGTTTATCTTAAGAACTGGTGAACCTCTAATTTAAGAAGTAGCTGATCGTATTGTTTACATTGTGGCAGACTGTTTAAACTTCGCGAGGCTTTCAAAATCAGATCGTCTGTGGAATGAGTTTTAAGTGTGATAATTTCCGATTAAATGGATCGTAGGTGATTTTACTTGGCGCCTGCGTTTGTTTTGTTTGTGACTGTTTTAAGAATTCGTTTGAAGAAATGGGTGCAGTTAAGAGTAAACTAGTTGGCTGTTCTAATTATTGTGTTTGCTGCAGAGTTGGTAAATCCGATTCGTACGATCTAAAGGACTTGCCTCGACCTCCGCAACTGGATAATTTGAACGGTAGGTCAAGGTTACATTCCGATAGTCTCTACAAAAAATTATATATATGTAAACATTAGGTAATATCTATTTTAGTCATCATTTTTCAAATAACTTGTTTTTTTTTGTTTATGACAGCTGTTTATCTGCCGACTTCCAAAAAGGAGACGGTACTCAATTCGACTGTATGTTTTTTTTATGTGTGTTACCTCATAACTTTGTACTGAGTGAACCGATTTCGAAGATTCTTTTTTATATGAAAGCTGATACTTATTGTGTGGTCCCATATGAATTTGATCATGGTCAGACTAATAGTTTTTGAGTTATTCTTAAATAACTTATATTGTATTATTGAAGTCGGCTATACAAAATTTTTAATTTTTAATTATTTCTTTCAAAACTTAGAAACGTATTAACTTTTTCTTTTTTTTTACCTTACAAGTCGTTTAACTGTGCAGAATATATATAATTACTTCTATTCATTATTTTTGAGTGAATAGTATTGTACTATATAATTAGATTAGAATATTGGAATCTCTGCATTTCTCTAAGAAATCCCACCATGGAAAGATTTGAGTGCGAGAGTATGATAATTTAAAATTAAAAATTTTGTACTGCCGATTTCAATATAGTTTATTAAGAATAACTCAAATAACTCAAAAAGTATTTGATAAAATTCATATGGGACCACACGAGAAGTATCAGCTTTCATATAAAAAAAGAATCATCGAAATCGGTCCACCCAGTAAAAATTTATGAAGTAACACACATAAAAAAAAACATACGCGTCGAATTGAGTACCGTCTCCTTTTTCAAGTCGGCAGAAAATTTTCATAAATATGCATTTGCGAGAAACTCTTACTTTTGATGAACAGGAATGTGCGTTCCACTGCTGGGCGTAGGCTGTGTGTTGTCAGATTTTACAAGTCCTTTACTAGTTTTTTTTTTAGTTTTATCACTTACAAGTTTTCCTCGCGATACTGTCATTTTTCGTAAAGTCCGTGATAAATCAGCACCTAAAATTGTAATTAATAATTTCATTCGGACCGATGAGTTACTCACGTCCTATTAAATTTAGTACCTATACCCGTTCTTTTCCTGAGTTACCACGGCTCTGATATTCTAAATAAAAGTTACTGTAAATAAAAATTGAGCTGTCTTTGGCCGTTTTCCCAGAGCTATATTATCTACCTTTCCCGTTTTACCATTACCTGTATATCCTAAAGAGAAGGGAATATTCTCATTCTCAGTTGCATATTGCACGACTGTACTAGGAGACAGGGATCTTTCTCAGTCTAGGAGTTCAAGTGGTCATCTTAGTGGCAATGTCTAGCTAGATATTTTTTTGCTTGATGTTGTTTGTAGGCGGGCCTTCTGGCCTTGCCTGCAGTAGCCATTTACCAACAGATAGCCTGTTAGCTTATTTACCAATAAAATGCATATTATATTATCAAAAAAATACAAAAATACCATTTTGTCTTTGAGTCCGCTGCAAGGACTTGTATTTTAGACATGTAAGGTCTTATAGTATACAACTGAGTATACTATTAAACAGATAGCTGATCTTACGAATGAAACACGGAATAGAAAATGACCGAATTTCTTTTAACGATACAACGCAATGATGAGAAGATGTGAAGAATACAAAGAAAAGATAACAATAAACTAGACGAATACTTTTAATTATGTCATAAACTATCGTGGACAAAGAAACGAATAAAAATCCAGAGAGCATTAATTTATTTAAAAGTTTTTCTTTTGAAGTTAAAAATAAATAGTTCTGTGGCCGAAACGCCATTTTTGTTTGGAAACAGAAACGATGAGCAGGGAGGTTCACTTAGTTTGATTTTCAATACTGGTTTATGAATGTGAATAGTTGCGTAAGTGACAGAAACCTGTTTTGTCCTTTGAAACATGACTGGAAATAAAATGCACATTGCAAAGTTACTTAATGTTAGTCAGTTAATTGTTGTATGATATAAATGCACCTTTGATAAAACACTTGAAGTATTGTTCACAACATTACATTATAATATTATAAAGCCTTAGCTGTACAGATTAAGTAACATGTTGTATAACTTTTGTTTTATAACACGTCCACATATGTGACATTGCTTTTCAACATTGCAACATATAACAATACTGTACACATTAGAATAACAATGGAATATAACAATGTTATATGACATTGTCGTTTGTCGTTCTGCCTTTCGAGTTATGTAACACTTTTTATAACATTCAGCAACCACATTACTGAAACATGTTATACAACATGTTTATAACAAAACGTATTATAACATGTTATGTTATATAATGTGTACGCACCGTTAGAGCATCAATGCGCAAGTGAACACCATTCAATAATTAATTATTATAAAAATCCTTATAATATATTATATATAATACGAGTATGTTGTGTTCTTTAAAACAGCTGTGAATGTCAAAATGAACTATTCATTACAATGTCATTAAAAATGATGTCGCACATAGATATGAATCATGCTGAATGTCGTTTTAAAACAGCGTGCAGTAAATTATAAATAAAATATTGATCTCTCTCATTAGGAAAAAAATATTTGTAATATGATCTGCTACATTTAAAATTGTCTACGGAGCTATTAAATATGGATTTCGAATGCTCACACTGAAACGCATTGCAATGTTTCTAATCGTAATTCCATTATTAATTCTAGTTTCGTAAATAACAATAATATAATATTGGAGGTTGTTCAACCTGTTATTAAGGGAAGTCATACGGCCATATAATCATCGACTAACGCTTACTTAGGTACTTAAATTAAGTATTAATTATCGCGCCATCTGTTTTTTTCTATTGTTTTTTAGAAAATGAGAATTTTTTAGGAGTAAGGCCGTTAATGTTTAAGAAAATGAAATAAATTTATAAAAGGCTTAATGGTTCGCTACATTAAATCCATAAAAATAAAAAGATGAAAAACATGTTCTTAAGGAAGATGACTTACGTAAGCAGTGATAAAGTCAGATCGGCGGAAGGACCGTACTTCCACGGAAAACGGCATAACAAATAACAATATTGCTTTTGTGTGATTAGTGATGTGTGACGAGATCTAGACAACCTATTACGGTGTACGCCGGCATACCATTTTAGTCTTCAAGGGTGACAGCTGACAACATAGTGTTTGTACACGTTCAACACGTCTCATCAATTGATGTAAATATATATATATATATATATATATATATATATATATATATATATATGTATAATACCATATATATATCTTTCGATTAAATTGTTCCTTGATACTGTGCCTTATAATTTATTTATAATTTTTTTTACTATATTGTTAGTCTAGTGGTCGAAAGAGTGACTGCAGATCATGTGGTCCCGAGTTCCAATCTAGGTTCAAGAAATTTTCTATAGCTCGGGGTTAAGAAGTTGGCGCGTCTCTTGCGCCTGAAATACACTAACAAAATTATGGTTTATGAGTTTATGACTCACACTTCTTATTCTAGGATAATGCTTCACTTAATTTAGTCCACTTGATAGTAGTACGTTATAATTTAAAATTAAAAATTTTGTACAGCCGACTTCAATATAAGTTATTTAAGAATAACTTAAAAATTATTGGTCTGACCTTGATCAAATTCATATGGGACCACACGAGAAGTACCAGCTTTCAAATAAAAAAAGAATCATCGAAATCGGTTCATCCAGAAAAAAGTTCTGAGGTAACACACATAAAAAAAAAAACGAAAAAAAAAACATACAGTCGAATTAAGTACCGGCTCCTTTTTGGAAGTCGGCAGAAAAGGCGCCTTATGTACTAGTAGGTTATAGGCAATAAATATTATGATATTCGAAGAAAAATAGACTGAATGATCCAATTGTTCTTTTAAGAATATTCTTGTAATATTATTATTTTTATGTCAATTTAAATAGGCAATGGTTCTTTTGTATAGTTTTCCTAAAGAAGTACTTTATGCACTGTCAATAGAAACAAAGTTTTGTTTAAGATTCAAGGTGAGCTGGTGCACGCGTAACGTCACTCATAGGTAGGGCTACCAGACGTTCTTTATTTTAAAGGACGTCATCTATTTCACACCCAAAAATTGATCATGTCCCCTAATTTGAATAATTAATTATTTTTCGCGTGGTGAGTGATGGGATTTAAAAATATTAAACATTATTAAAGATGCACTATCCTCAGCAGTTATGTTATGACGCACTTTTATTGATTGCTCTTTATTATCATGCATGGATAAATATCATTATAAGATGGTGCTAGTTACAGCCTATATAGGTCGCACTCCTAAACATACCTGCCATTTCAAAAAAGGTTTTAGAGCAAGGAAATGCGTGTTGGCGGACTTAACATGTCTTTGAAATGTTTTTTATGGAATTTCTCAGACTTGCAAGGTTCCTCACGTTGATTTCCTTCACCGCTGAGCACGTGGTAAATCAGCACTTAAAATTGCATTAGTCCCGGTGGGGATCAAAACCAGGGTACTGTGAAATTCACAGCGAGCAAGAGCTACCCGAAGCTGATAAGACCATGTAGGTACCTAACAAAAATAAAATAAAGAAATAATATAAAGTCGCCAATTTTTTTTAACTTTATTTAAGTAGAGATTTCTGTGTATGTAAACTGTTGTACCTTACACGTCACAAATCACAATCTATCGATTATTTTTTAATCGATTATTTCATTGTAAACATACACGAAACGCTGAGAGTTAAAATATGCGTGCACGGTTATTCCCCGTTAACTTAGCCCTAAAAAACTAACGGCATTCCAACGCTCTAGAAGAGATTCTTTTAAGCGATTTTTTAAACTTCGTAATTTATTATTTTACTTTCGAGTTTGTGGAGCCAAGGAGTAGTGATAGTTTGCCAACACCTGTCTTTTCACCCCTTTCAATCTTCAAGGAAAAAATGTATAGGCATTTGCAGAGCTAAGTCAGTGCGCTTTACCATGTTCAGCTACATCGCCACTTGCCACCAGATGGAGGTCCACTTCCCATACATGCACTAACTAATA